CATCACATCATCAGAGAACCCCCATCCCTCAGACTTCACCCCATCAGAGCCCCAACCATCAGAAATCCAAATCTCCCTCTCCTCAGCAGAAGCCTACATCTAACTGTCCCTCCCCTCAGTATTCTGCTGCCTCAGCACAAAAGAGAGAGCCAGTTGTAAGGATTCTTTCCTCAACTGAAGATAATGATGGGTTTCTCACAGCTTCAATGGCTGGTGATCTTCAATCTGCAAAGAGAAAGACTCCTACTCCTCCTCTATCTCCTGATCAACCTCAAACTCAACCCCAACCTCAAATCAATCAAGTACCTCAGCCAGAACCACCCAAAGCTGTCCTCATTCCCTTCCAGGAATTTGTGGAATCAGCAGAGGACTTTGGAGATCAGATGGTGGCTGGACTGAACAAGCTACTTGTACTAAATCAGAAGCATGATGCTCATCTGGATTTGGTACAGTACAACATTGAGTCAGGACTTGAGAAAATCGCCAACACCCTCTCACAACTGTCGACCACCTTCTTCAGCTACATGAAGACATCCAATGAGAAGGTTGATGACATTGCTTCCGAGGTTGCCAGTCTGCACACGGTCCTGTTCTCACAATCTCAGACTCTCTCTGCTCAAGACAAGGCTATTCAAGACCTATCTGATGCTGTGGATGATCTTCAATGGTCCTCTGACAAGCATGCTGAGCAGCTCACAGATGTAGAGGACATCTGCAAAACCTTGAAGGAATTTGACATCAAATTGATAAACAGTGGAAAGGACAGGGATCATAAGTTGACCCTCCTTGAAGCTACTACCAAGGATATTCAGTCGGCTGTGGACAAGCAAAAGGAGCTGATAGAAGGGCTGGCTTCTGTAACTCAGACTCTGCCAGGTACCCTTGAAGCTATAAAAGAGAACAATGCTACAGAATTCTCGAAAATTGGACTCCTACTTGGCGATCTTGTTGATGCCAAAAAGGGGGAAGATAGCAGAGAACCTGTCCCACTTCCCAGAGAAGCAGAAGGTCCAAGCTCCAGAGCCATTAACCCTGCTAGGTACTTTGAAAGAGCAAGGCAAAAGAGGCTAGCTGCTGGTATTCAAAGACCTCCTCCTCCTCGGTCTAAGAAAGGGAAGAAGACAGCCTCTACTTTCACTTTGGCCCAATGGCTCAACAGTGACTTGGCTAAACCTGATGCTGCTCAATTCAGAGAGATGAAGAAGCATATGACCCCTACTCAACAAGAGAATCTCATTCAGGATAAAGATGGGCTAATAATAATCAACCATGGTGGGTCTATGCAAGAAGCAGAAGACTGGTGGCGTTTGAAAGTAATCCCTGGCAAGGACCTATCTGAAGCCATCAGAAACTATCTAGATTGCCAGCTTGAACCTGCCTGGTCAGAATATCAGAATCCCAGGAATCTTGCTACAATCAGAGCTAGGGTCAATGCTGATCTGAAGGAAATTGAGGCAAAGGAAGCTGATCTAGAAGAGGAAGATATCTAAACTCTATCCCCTTGTTGCTTTAAATATCTTTCATTTATAAGATAACCAGCTTGCCTCTAATTTGCATGGCAATTTCAAATTATTTCTCTATTGCATTCTGATTATCTATGCTCTGATATCTTGTGTTATTTCTTATTTTATCTGATTGATTGTATCTTACTCTTACTATTCTCCTATGCCAAGTGCCCACCAAGTTTTTAAATGAAAGTTTATTTTTTTTCTTATTTTCTTTATGGTGAAAGGCACTTCTCTGGAAATAGTTTAAGGGTTTTGGCATCATCAAAAAGGGGGAAATTGTAAGGAATAAATGTAATTAGATTTTGATGATGCTATAGGATTAGTAAGTTAGAGTACCCCCAAATTAGATTTTATGTATTAGACTTTTCAATTGTAAGTATTAGTGTAGTCGACGATCAGAGTTGCTCTATTTTGGATCAGATCAGAAGTGCATCAGAACTGCTCGACCAGACTTGCTCTATGAGAACTGCCCCATCAGAGTTCTCTTAGCAGAAGTCCATCAGAGTTGCATCATGAGAGTTGCTGATAAGACTGGACATCTGATAGCCGATGAGATCTACAGATCAGAAGTACTCATCAGCGGACCTATCAGAGTCAGAGTTCAGTCAGAGATCAGAAGACCATCAGAACTCAACTCATCAGATAGCCATCAGAATCCAACATATCAGAAGAGCCTGATCAGAGCTCGACGAACACTTAGAAAGCTTCAAGCAACATCCAAACAGCTATGAATTCAACGGGTAAAAACATCCAACGGCTAGAAGACTGTGTCTGAAAGGAAAGCATTTAATGCACATTGAAAGAGCCTGATACGCTGAAGGATTGATTGCAAATGATTGACCAAGAAATCCGGGAAGATATATTTTAAAAATAGAAACCTTCCAAAAACGGCGGTCAAGTCAACTGTACGCGCATTTAATGCAGTTGTCTCCTCCTCCAACGGGCAGACAACCTCAGTATATAAGCTACACACCGAAGAACTGGAAAACAACTTTGCTACAACTTTTGCTCATCATCATTCAAGCTCTCTTGAGTTTAAAATTCTACAACCTTCAACAAGACAAGCTTACGTTGGGAAGATTCAAACTCCAAATCTCTCATCCCCAACAAACAAGCAAAGTTCATCCTGTTCTTCAACACTTCAAGAACTTCATCAAACATCATTTGTAACGAAGCAAGTTGGAGGAAAAACTCTGTTTTTTCAAAAGGATCTTCTGAAAAGAAGGGCGTCCAAGTAACTGCAGTAGTGAAGTGGTGATACTTCCGGGAAGCTGAGTGAAAGGACCAGCCATCAGGACGTGGAATTGCATCCTGGGTGGCAGCTAGACTTGAAGAAGGCGTGGAGAACTTCTTAAGTGCTAGGAACTAAGCTTTGTAACCGATCTACTTCAAAGCTAGTGGAACAGTGGACTAGAGGAACGAGTTGTTCCTTGAACCACTATAAAATATCCGGTGTCATTTACTTTACTGCAATTTATATTTCTGCACTTAGGATATTAACTGAGTAACTCTAAGACTTGGAATCTGTGTTCAGCAGATCTTGTTTTCAGAGTTATCAGAAAGGCATCTGCCTTAGTGTTTCTGAGGCTACCCGGACAGATCAGAATCCGCTGCCAAGGCCAGTTCTGATATCAGAACCAGCCTTTCTCTGTCATCAGAATCAGACCTTCTCTGATAAGTCAGTTTTGACTTTGAGAAAAAGTTGAAAAACCAATCAGTCTATTCACCCCCCCTCTAGACTGATTACCATATTAAACGGGACCAACACTAATATAGATGGGTGTGGCTTGAAGTCACGGGGAAAGGGTTAAATGTTTTCAAAGTAAACATGGGCCTTCGGGCGACTACTTGACTTTATATATAAAGTAAGTACACTTTCAAAGAGGGTAACCACGGGTTATGACCTATAATATAATAACATCCTAGATTGAGGGTCTTGGAAAATTGAAACTTTGATTATACTTAGTATAGTTGTCATTGTACTTGTCAAATGCTTCCAAGTACTGACCTCCCCTTCACGGGGGAGGCCACCTCACAGTTTCAGGTAGAACTTGAAGGTTGCTACCCTCGCCGTTGCTCCAAGAGAATTCAGGAGAAGAAGACGTGGTTCGTGCTTCCTCCGTTCCTGTTTTAAACTCATTTAAATTAATGCTCATGGATGTTATCTTTTGAATAACTATTGATGGCTTGTATGCCCATGTTACGCCAAGTGTGGCTTGAACACTTGTATTAAACGTTTCCGCTGCTTTGAATGAATGTTTTATATTATGTTTGTTTATGGATGTACTATGTGTGAATGATATCCCAGACGTCTTGTATAGTATGAATGTGTTGGACTGCGGTTGACCATTCGTACTGTACGGCGGATTGTTGACGTGTCCGGGTAGGTCCGGGGCGTGACAACCAGCTCCAATCACCAAAAAAAATGCCAACATTTTTCCGAAATGCCATCATGATGACAGATTTTGAGAAGATTTGGCATTTTCAAAGAGCAAAACTGTCAACTTTATGGCATTTTCAAAGAAAAATGGAAGTTTTAACATAAGATGACATTTTTTCCGCCGATCGGAGGTGACATTGCTGGGTGATGGCCGAGGTTGCGGCAAAGGCCTGCATAATTTTTTTATATTTTTTAATGTGGTTTATCTATTTTTTTATTTATTTTCAAAAACTTTTATTTTTTAAAAAAATATTTTTTTAAATTTTTATTATTTCAATATATTTTTTCAAATATTTTTTTTTTAATATTTTATTAGGATCAAATAAGTCATATTTTAGAATTAACTAGGTTATGGGAAATAACCTAGTGAAGGAAGTTTTAAGTTTCACTCTTATTTGTGCAATTATGTTTATGTTTACTCCTATATTGGGCAATTTCTCTTGGAGTAATGGAGTGCAAGCCTTTTTTTAGAAAGACCATGGGATGAGGTTTGTCAGTGATTATCCTACTCGATTAAACACACATAATTTCTAAACATAAACATCAAATGAAGCATAAGTGTTGATGATTCATGATTGGGTCAGAGCAAAAGTGTTGATTTCAATTGTATGCCCATTGAGAAGCTTTGGTGCATGTATTCCTTTGGCCGATGCTGTTTTAAATAGAGGAAGAAGATATATGGAAACAAACGGCTTTCATTCATAAGGGTTTTGGTGTTTGGATTATCTTAAGATAGACATAAATCCCTAAAATAATTGATATTGTAAATGAAAAGAAACCATCCAACTTATACAGTTATACTAACCTCAAGACGTTATTTTTGCTCCATCTAAACAACCCAAACAATAAAATTCATTCCTAATGAGTTCCAAGCCATTGCGCTCCTACCATCCAAGCCCCTTCTTTTAGTAGAATGTGCCAGGAAAGCCATTTTATTAGAAATGTAGTGTATTAAGTTAGGAACTTGACAAGATAGAATAATAACACCAATAATAATCAAATAAGTACTATTCCAGCAAAAGAAATGTAGTCTAACAATCAGGAAACAACACTGCTACTGCTAATGTGGACATGGAAAGATTTGTAAGAAATTATAAATAAACCATTGAAGGAAAAAAATTATCTAGAAGTCTCACAATAAATCACTTCAAGAGCACACACAGATTCATTCATCATAGAAGCAACTAACATACGGAGTATGTATTTCTAAAACATCAACAGGTTGACAGAACATTGTACAACAAAAGCCTCAAGTAAAAACCGAGTTAAGAAATAAAACAGCACGCCTAACAAGATGGACACAGGCAGAGCAGGCAAAGCTTTCTGATAAAAAGCAAGAAGCATGAGAGTAATGCCTAGCCCAGCTATTATAGCAAGGTAGCAAGCATATACCGTCATATAGTCATACATGGCTGCTCTTCCAACCAATACGCTGTAGAAAATGAAATCTCCCAACCCCAACTTGATTGCACCCGACGATCCTAACCCGATTCCTTCAGCCCCATCACCAGAAACCTCTTGTGGATTAATCAATGGCACAGTTAGTTCAGAATAATCTCTAGTAATCACTTCATGTTGATCATTTACATTTATTTGATTTGAATCTAAACTAGAACTGGAACCCGGATTCGATTCAGTCCCTAATCTTTCTCTCCAAACCCTCCTTTGTATGACAGTTCCCCTCGGAAGAGAATCATGATTGACGATTGGCCTGGCCTCATAAACCAGAGCAGGGATATCCTCATCTCTTGATATTGCAAGTTCAACCAATAGCCTCAAAGGACCCACGGGCAGCAAAACTGCTGCGAGATCATACAATGCCATTGCAACAAGAAGCACCCATGTAGTCCATTCGGGCAATAATGTAAACCAATAAGCAACCAACATTCCAATGAGAACCAAGTACCCTTGTGTGACAAGAATTGCCATTTTTGACAGAAACACAGCTAGAACACCAACCACGGTAAAATTATACAAAACCAAAGAAAAAGTAACAACATCGATAGGAAAGCTGAAATCTTGGATCAAGAAGAGTGAGATTTCACCGCCCATGAACGCCAAGACCAGAAACGAAGAGAAACCCATGTAGTATTTCAAGAAACTGGTGCATCTGTAATAGAACAGCAGTACGAGGATGAAGGTCGCAATAGTAACTACAACGATGAAAATGAGGGCATTCAAAAGGGCACCTTTCAGCTTGTCCCACGCTGAGTCTGAGCTGCTCTCGGAGTAAGCGGCGGTGGCTATGGTAGAAAACGACGGCGGCGAGGAATCTGGGCCAGTGTTGAGTACAGATACAAGGACAACCACAAAAAACATGCAGATTGATACTGGGGTGATGATTCTGACGATTTCTTCACCGAGAGAATCAAGAATGGTTGTGCGTCTTCCACTTTGAGCCATTTTGGATTTGGATTGGAGGAGCAAAATCTTTTGGGCTCCTCAGTTTTCTTTCGGAGCTACCGATGGGAGAGAGACTCAGGTATCCGGGAAAATTTCTATTTTTTCTGAAAATTGGAAAATGGTTTTATTTATTTATTTATTTATTTATTTATTTATTTATGACAATAGGCTTCTATTAAAATAAAGAAAAAATGCAAACAAGTATCGCAAAAGGGCAATTCTTGTTGTATACGACTATACAAGTACTAGTATAAAATTAGTACGCAAGTTGTGCACTATCTGATTGCATAGAAAATTCATCCATTTTTAAACAAAATACATGTGTGTATTTGCTTATATACATAGATAGTTTTTTAAGAAAATCTACAACTGCATGTCCACATAGACGATGTATAACTTGTGTACAAATGTAATTTTCCATCTCAAAAGGGTTGTTCTATTTGGAGTCATAAAGTGATTATTCACAACGACCACTAATTAAAGATAATATTATGTGTTTATTAAATATTTATTTTTCCCCTGCACAAATACAACGCAGGCCACTCATTTGTTGTTTCAGACAACCTCATCCATACTTCCGATCCGCCCCCCCCTCCCAAGTTCCAACCGGACTTGGACCAACCTTGTTCATCTTTCTCTCAATCACCGCTAAGCTTCGCCGGACTTATACCGTTATACCGACCTTGCTCATCTTCTTTCCTGCCCGGCCGCCCCACCTGACATGTGCATATATCTCAAATCAGGGAAAAGAAAAAAAAAATGATTGAATTTTTTCCCATGCGACTATTTGCCAATAAAGGACACACTCTGTTGAGGTTTATTCCCGAAGATCCGAAAGCCCAACACAAGCCTTGGATTTTGTAGGGATATTGGGTTGGATTAAAATGTGTATAAAATATAAAACAGTGAGATATTTGTTCAACTCAGAAGCTTACTGGTATTCAATAAATATGTGATTACACTAGAACTACCCGAACGGTAGATGAATATGAGATTACAAGGATGGAAGATGTAAATCGATTGCTAAGCTCTGAGTATTAAAATGCTCACCCTTTACAATGATCTAAACATGGATATTTATACTAAAATGGGGATGGGAAGGTGGACACGTGGTCGAATCTGGTAGGCTATCACCTCTGCCATGTAAGCACCCATGCCCCCACTTGCTGCCGCCATGATCCAGCATTAAATGCGACCTCCACTTGGTGATTGCCCGTTCGGGCAAGGTGTTCGGTGTGTGGGACCCCGCCATAGGTGATAATTTCAACCTGAAGTATCCCGAACGCCGATCGATATTTGGGCCTTGATACCTTGGCATAATTGTTACCCAGAATGTTCCAAGTATAAGCTTTATCCCGAATGCCGTTCGGGAGTTCTTTTGGGCTTGCTGTTTCTTCCCGGATTTGGGCCTAGGGATATTGGGCCTGGACCCAATATCCCAACACTAGTCCCCCACTTCCTATGTCTCGAACGGTAGTGAGCGCATAAGGAAGTAGAAGATTATTGCCCGAATGCTGTTCGGACGAGTATCGGATGGCCTTCCGCCGGTTCCCGAGGCATGTTCTGACGGTTATTTGCAACTGCCGTTTCGCTTCTCCGATAAACGTCATGATTACTTGAGAAGGATTCTCTGTGCGACACGTGTCTCTGTCATCATTACAAAAAACGTGTCCTATTCTGATTGGCAGCTGAATCGGCGTGACAGAGTATAAATGGGCTCTTCTGGTTTTGATTCTGGGTTTCGAAATTTCGCACCTCCGGCTTATAATTCATCCTTCTCTCTAGAGCTATTCCTTAGTTCTTGCTCAGGTATTTTCTGGCCTTGTGTTTTTCTTCTATCCTCCTTGTTCGATCGGTATGGCAACCCGTCTTCGTTCCTCCGAGTGTTCTGCCTCAAACGTTGATCTCCCTGAGAATACTCCCACCTAGCCCTAATTAGGCTGATGCGTCAAAAACTTACGGCCCAAAATAGGGCCCAAATCCAGATGATGATCCCGGACTCGGTGGATTTCCGACTCCAAGCCGGGCTTCACCCAATGCGTCATTTCCCTGGGATGGTAGTGGTCCACTTTGACTCAATTAAGGCCGGCCTTAGGTTTCCACTCCACCCGTTTTTTGTCTCCTTTTTAAATTTTTACAATGTAGTACCAGCTCAAATAATGCCGAACTCCTACCGGTCAATAGCCGGTTTCATCTGTCGTTGTCATAGCGTCAAAGTCTCACCCACCCTAGAGCTTTTCCACTATTTCTTTTCGGTTATCCCCCAGCAGTCCCACGGTTTTCTGGTGGTAAGCTCCCGACCAGGACACATTTTGTTCTGCGATGCCCCTTCTTCCATCAAAGGTTGGAAAGATAGGTTCTTCTTTGTCTCTGTACCGAACGGTTTGATTCCTAGGAAGTGGAACGCATTCCCTCCTAAATCCCCCGAGCCATTCATTTCCGAGGAGCTTAGCAAAGGCCGGGATAGGTACTGCCCGTATTCCTGGACTTACTTGACTGAAAACCAAGTACCATGGCCCGGGCGGTCCTTCCCGTGTGATATAACTTTTTAATCCACGTGTGAACCGCTCGGTACTAATTTGTTCCTTTTGTCTTTTCAGCTCCAAAGCAAGGCGAATCTTCAGATTCCGAAGGAGCCAATCCCGAACAACCGGCCATGGATGACAGCAGGCTTTTCACCGTTGGTTTTGACGACGAGCCACCAACCTCTCCTCCCAAGCAGCAGAGGAAGACAAAGAGGAAGAGGTTGAGGAAAACCGATCAGGGGACATCCTCCCAATCCGCCCCCCTACACCCTGAGCCTGTCCGGGATGTAGAACCTGTTCAGCAGGTTAACCCTGATCAGCAACCTTCACATGCTGATATGCTGATGGATCAGCTCTTCTCTGATCAGCAGTCTCACCACTTTTCTGCTGAGGAAGTGGCCGCCAACCAGGCTGATTTGGCGAGCCAGTTTGAGCAGATCTCCCTCCAAGATCCTGCTCATGGAATGCTGGAAAGGGGAGGCTGTCCAGCGAGCCAAATTTGGTCCACATCGGGCTTCTTCAATGGGCATAACCTCCCCCTTTTTTCAGTTTTGATAACCTATCAGGTCCTCATAACTTACTTGCATTCGATCAACAGGTAGGGATCTACAGCCTGAAACTCAGAGAGGCCAGGCAGGCCAAGGAGCAAGGCCTACTGATGGCCAAGGAAAGGGCTGAACAGGCAGCAGAGGCCGAACGGCGGGCCTTTGCCGAGGAGCGGAGGAAACTGGAAGCTGAGGCTGGGGAGCTTCGTGTCAAGGTGGGCTCTCTCCAGGCCAAGATCGCGGCAGCTGAGGCCGCTCAGGTCAAGTTTTCTGAGGCCCCTCCTCAAATCCCGGACGGCCCGACTGAAATGTTAGTTGATCTATCTGCTGTTCGGGATCAATTCAAAGCTTCCGAGGAGTTTTTGGCTCTAAGGAAGAATATGCCACCGAACAGCTCCCTGCTGTCTTCGGAAGGCACCTGGAGAAACTGGCCGGAGAAGAGCGCCAGAAGGAGGGGATCAGGGTGCTTGATCAGCACCCCATCACCAAGGAGTGGGCTGACAATCTCGCCCGAGGGGTCTACAGCTCAGCCTGTCAACATATGCTCCAGCCCCTCCTTCCGCTCCTGGAAAAACACATGGGCCGAGTAGTGCAATCTTCTGACTTCCCCTCTGACCTCCATCCGGGTCATCTGAACGCCCTAATGGCACAGATGAAAAAGTGCCGGCGAGCCCTGGGGATGGAGGTGGTGCAAATTGTTGATGAGGCTGATGAAGACGATGATGAAGACGATGAAGATCATCCCGAACAATAGATTTAGACATTATCTGTATTTCCTTTCCTTTGAATCAGTAGTTTTTGTACTTTCCGGCCAGTAGAGCCGATGAATATACAACTTTTGCCTTCTCATCTCGTCTTTGTGACTTACTGTACTTTATGCTTGCTTTTCACCTATCAATTCGCCTCCGCAATACGTTTCATGTTGCTTTGTTCGGGTGATCTCCATAATCTGAAGCGATCAGGTCACCTGTTCGGGTGAACTCCTTGTCAAATCCAGAATTCAGGACTTGATAATCTTGTTAACACATGTTGTGTATAATGAACCCGTTCAGTCTGTACTTATGATCTTAATATAAGACCCTTGTGCCCTTTTCATTCGTTCGTAAGCTTTCATTCTAGCTGGAAATTGTGTCCGGTATTCGGGATGTACTTTTGCTCTCTTTGTTGCATCTGTCATATTCTTCCATGTTAGATAACCATACTGTTCGGGTACGCCCATCATTTTTACCATCGTTATAAATTTCCTTCCTGTTCGGGGAAACGCTTGTAGCCCTTTTCTTTATTTATATTTTGGTACATTTTTCCTTTCATTCTTCATTATCCCGTTCGGAGGAACGCTTGTAGCCCACTTTCCTTTTCACTGGTAGAGGTTCGTGAACTTTGTTTGACTTCAACCCCGTTCGGGTGTTCACTTACCCCAAAGGATGCTTTAACTTCTCTCAACCGTCTTGACACGTGTCAGTTATTCATTCGAATCCCTGGCGGTAGCCTTTCCTTATATAAGGATGCAGCTACTTTGTTTCAGTTTTTTCTGCTGCTTCTGAATTCCTTCAAGCTTTCTCTCTCTAGAATTTCCTCCGTTATTCTATGTCTGCCTTTTCTGGTTCGTCAGATTCCGAAGAGATGGCACCCACTTTGATTCGTCTTTCAAGGGGAAAAGCTCACCCCAAAGATCAAGCCATCAAGGTACATCTACTCGATCGTCGGGTTCTAACGGGTCTTCTGCCTCACTTCATCCCGAACAGCCCCTCCCTGATGATGGATGTCAGTCGGGAGATGACCTAGCCATCTACAATAAGGGCATGCCTGAACGGCCCCCCCGTTATAGCCTGAACTTTCACTGCATCAGGAAGCAACGTCAACGCCTTCCTGCGGATGCGGAACAGACGCTGCGCCAGTTACTACCTCCACCCCGTCAGTTTAATGCGGGGTTCATCAAACATCCCATGCGACACCGTCCGGGATGTGTATTGGTGCATATGGACGCCCTGATTGCTGGTCTGCGGTTCCCTTTGCACCCGTTCGTTGTGGAGTTCCTCCGCCGGGTGTCAGTAC